CTTTGGACATAGGTGTTTTGCGTTATATCAGCATACTTTAACATAAGGAACACCCTCCCGAAGTTTGGTCCATTCCTCCTGGGACACCCTGTATACATGACACATGACTGGCAAGCGCTGGCGTAACATGGCTGGCTGCGCATAGTGGTATAAACAGACTACATAACTGTATTAAACGTACATTCACGGAAAATCTCTTTTGGAATTTCGTTTCCATTATCTCATGTGGATTATTATGGGACCACGTATACACATTTTGTAAATTATTTACACCGTGTAGGGTAAAAGACGCCTCATCACTGAATAAAATGTTGCTTAACAGTTCGGGATGAGCTTTTATCCTGTGGCACAAATCCATACGCTGTGCATGGTCGCTTGGTTCCAGATGTTGTACCCTTTGATCATGGTAAGGATACAACTCTTCATCATGTAAAGTTCGCCACACCTGCATACGTGATTGCCGATGCGACAGGCCATTCTACGAGTGGACAGATGGAGACTTTTCTGAACCATCTGAAGAATGTTCTCTCGTGTGTTTATCATTCGTACATCCTCCCTTTCAGAGTGCACAGAAACACTCGGAAGAGAACCAGGATCAAGCAATGTCCGGTGAATTCGCATAAATACACTTCGAGATGGAACCTTCGATCGGGAAAACGCCTTTGGTATTATTCAACAGCAGCACGTGCACTGCCACCGCAAAATCCACACACAAAATGCATATCACAATATTCCACGTGTGAAAACACAAAAGGCATTTCAGCAACTCTGCACAACTAATTTACCAACCATTCACGACGCAGCCGCAACGTACTCTGTAGGTAGCGCGTGAGCTTACGGCTAGTGTGAATCACCACACTCAAGGACAAACATAGATAAGACGTCTCAGCTGACAGGTATAGTGTATGGACCCGCCAGAAGACCACACTTTTCTCGCGCCATTATCTTCGTAACCGTTCAACTTTGGACATAGGTGTTTTGGGTTATATCGGCATACTTTAACATAAGGAACACCTCCCGAAGTTTGGCAGATTCCTCCTGGGACATCTTGTATATGTCATTTGGCCAACTCAGGTTGCTGCTTGCATCATATATATGTGACATTTGGCCGTTAAATGTTAATTGATCCTGTGTTCCTGTTCAAGTTTGCAATTTATGATGATGTATGGAATTGTCTTGGTTGAGGTTGGTTAGTAAGTTAGTTATTGGAGAGGGTGGGTTTCCCTATGTATTGAGACCAGTATTGGTCCATTGTGCTGCCCTCTATAATATTCTACCAGTCTCTATACCCTACCGATATTGGTGCGTACTATCAGTCCCAACCGATCCAGTAAGTTCGGCCTCTACTGGCTTGGCGGTATCTATAATGTTTCCCCCATCTATCAGAGGCGTTAGAGACATGTCCTTGAATTTAGCTCAGTGACCTCCTTTGGAGGTATGAGGTTCTTTTATGTGCCATAAAGCTACGACACGGGACCCATGGCTTAAAGTCCCTCCCGGAGGACTTGTTCCCTGAATTTTTCCGCCCTTAAAAATTCCACAACCTCCGCCGCGTTTGAACCCGCATACCACGAGTCATGAGGTGGGAACGTTACCTTTAGACTACGGAGGCCGCTTTCTTTGAGGTAAGTAAGTGCTTGTCTTGTAACATAAACACAAATTCTGTCATAGGTGACAAGCTGGGAAGAGTTGTGCACATCATTCAGTCCCGAGAACCTTCTTTGAGGGATTCAAATCCGGATGAGATAGAGATTGACTTTGAAACTCTCAAGCCGTCTACACTGCGGGAACTGGAGTCGTATGTTGCATCCTGTCTTAGGAAAAAGCCACGTAAGCCATACTGTAAGTTTCATTACTAACGACACACCCAACGTATAGTATGCCAGTGCTGATCAGCTGGCATGGCAGCTGGTTTCACTGGGATGCTATTTAGTGTGTGTGTGGTTCTGATAGTTCTGCACAGAGGGGAGTTGGATGAGAGACTGTGGTAATGGGGATGTGTTTGCGTTTTGTCTCTCCATTGACGTGTTGTGTGTGCACAACTGTAGCATTGTACCCAGCAGTATTTATGTGACAGTATGGAAGACCCGGGCTTAGATGTTCGTCTTTCTACAGGTGGAAGGTGATTGGCACTGGGATCATAACAACATGTGTGCTGTGCAGTGAAAATTAAAAATCTAGTCAGCCCTCTACCCCACTGCCAGAAGTCCGGCTGAAGAGCGCCAAAACACTTTCTTTGGAGAGACACTATGCTGACAGGGTTGGGGGACATTCCATACTCTTGGGTGTCATTTTACTGTTAAGACATTCTTGTACTAAATGCCTTGATAAGGTGCTGTTGTTCGGGTTTTCACAAATATGTGGATTCTATTTAGTCAAATGAGTAGAGATATTCCTTTGTCTTGAAAGTCACAGATTTGCAGTCTGTGTTTGAATTGGTGTAAATGCTCATTGTATGAAGTTAGTTCTGGGAGGTTTTACTTATAATATGGCAAGTACAAGTTGTACCCTGAATATTTTTCTGTTGAAGTATGTATTATGGTGTGGTTTTTATGTACTCGGAGGTGAAGCTTCTTTCCTGCAGCACAGGTCTGGGAAAATGGCAGTTGTGCCTGCTCACCATGCAGATGATGGCTGAATTAGCTGACCATTTGTGAATCTACCTCTTAGAACAATAATTTTTTGCTTCCATATAGACATGTTGGCAGAATTTTTCAAATGCATCGTCTGAACGGTGGAGGGGCATTTCTGCAAGAGGCACAGAACCACACACACAAAGCTAACAGGTGGTGGTGCAAAGTGATCGTTTTGTGTTATTTGGAGCGCACATGCTTGTAGTCACAAGACTGCTCACTTGCCTTTGTGTGTTGGTGCTTTCTTAGCCTGTGTCTGAGGGTTGCAAGTGTGTAGTGTACTGTTGATTGTGAAGGTGGTTGGTTGACTTGCTTCAAGTTTACATTGTGGAAATAGAGTGGTAGGACCAGTTGTAAAGTGAAGACGACGGAATTGTAGAAGTTTGTGTATCTGCTTGTAGCAATGAGAGGCAGCTGCAGTTTTGAAAGCTTAGAGTATTAGGATCTTCCTGTTGAAAGTGAGTAGTGATGTAATGACATTTATTTCCATAAGTTCTTATGCACTAATCCTTGAAAACTACTTGGGGTGTGTTTAAAATTATTGCTGCTAGCGGTATCCAGAAACAAGAGTTTTATAAGATTGACTCTTGAATACAGAAACTGAACCCCCTGTTTTGATCAGTAACAAATGTACAGATTTGTACAATCTTTCTTGAAGGGCTGACTCTCCTTCCATAGACCTTTTAATTGGGAAACATGGGTAGTTATTTCTTAAATATTGTTTTTACTCATTGGTTTTACATAGTTACAGATTAAAGTAGTGTGTATAAAATAAAAAGTATAATTAGAGGCTGTAATCCGTTGTAGTAACAATAGTAAAAACTTTTGTGTTGTCAATTCAGAGTTCTGGAGCATGTGTTCTCATTACACCACAACATTATGTAACAAAAAGTGTCCTACAACGTGCCTAATTGCAGTACACCTAAGTGTAGTGGTTACACCATGTAATCTACTAATCTTTCACGATTAATTGTAGGATATAAATCATTGTACTGGTCCCGGGAATACTTACATGAAGATACCAAAGGAGCACACCTCACAGACAATTAGAATATCACCACATAACACCAGCATAAGGACAGCATCAGGAAGAAAGCTTTTAGTACACTCAATCAAAATACACTTAATCAGAATTTCTCAGAGCTAGCAAAGACGTGCAACCTCAAAACCAGCACCACAAGAGTATTTTCCGCTGTTGCTGTTACAATGAAATACAAGCTTTTTATCTTTAGTATACACAGTTGTACTATCTTCAGCCAAGGAGTACCTACATGGATACACAGTTATCGTAATCATTAGGATAACTGTATTTTATACACACAAGTCATAGTATAGAACCTCTGTTACCTCGCGTAACTTGCCTTTATCTTACCTTCCTTTACCATACTTTACACGTTTACCATGATCATCATCATGTGAAGGAAAGCATGAATGAAGGAAGTGTAATCTTAGAGAAAACTAGGTCGATTTATCAGTAAGACAGTAAAAGCACGAAAACCTTTACGAGTTAACATTTCTGATACTGTACCACCTCAAGGTGCCCCGTATAGGTAGATAAAGTACAACGTTTATTTTGCCTGGAAAGTGCCAATGGTAACTTAACATCTACAACACATGTCAGCAGCAGAATGCATGTGAACACCAGTCATTTCAGGTTCTGTTGCATGCCTCCTTAGCTTCCATTTGTCTGTTGAGTCATCTGGCTGACTAACCTTGGCCATTCCCTGTTCTTGTATTTTGAGTGCTCTGATCAAGCATAAAATGCTAGTATGTCTGTTCAAGTTACATAAATAAACAAGCAGCTGGCAGCTGTGAAGTATCACATGCTTAGTCATGTTCCTATTTATTTAATTGAAAGTTTGCATGTGAAATATGCAAGTGAGTGGTTAATAATAGTGACTATTCTGGTAAATGTATGAGGGCATGGTTGAGGCTTGTTAGTGGGTCCACCTGGGA